GTTCACGAAACGTTGGCATTCCAAGAATGGATTTGAACACGGAGAAAACCCGCGAAACACAAGATTGTCATATAGGAAACACCCGTGAAAGCCTCAAGCATATGTATGCAGTGTTGTATATATATATAGGCAGAGTATAAACCTTTTTTATTCAATCGTAAACTTCAGTTGGGAGCGTTAAGAAATGACCTAGTAAAGAGAGATATATATGTATACATATGTATGTACATATGTATGTATGTATATATGAATGTATCAATATACGTAAGAGATGACAACACGATATATGTACTATGAAAAAACATAACGAAGAACATAATCATTTTATTTGCTATACTTACATTATTTATATTTTATATCTCACTTCATCGTGGCATTATTAATTATCTAGTGAACAGCGTTCAATAGATATTGGTAGGCTATCGAACTGCTGATGAACTATTAGTGAAAAATGTATGGGATTAATCGATAAAGTATCCTTTTGAAAAAGTGTGAGCAATTGCATTGAGCCTAAAACCCTAGTCTGTAAATAGAATATTCATACTGCATCTCCAAACCTCGCGAGGATCACAGATTTTACATGACTGACTGACTGACTGAATACATTTTTATAACTTTTTTGTTGAAAATGACTGATTTGCCAATTGACTGACTAACAAGGAGTGATCTATCGCTGACGCGTTTTACGAGCATGAGTTCCATCGCCCTACTCATCCGGACGTGTATCTCCAGACGTGAAGAAAGTACTACGCAGGAAAGAAGATAGGGTGTACATCAAGTGGCTGGGATTCGATGGATCGCACAATTCGTGGATACATGAAAAAAACAATGTCATTCGATACAATTTTAATTCGTCTATTTTTTTTATACATATATGAGGTGTAAATTATAATGATAGTACATAATAATAACATATAATATGTACATATATAAATGTGAAAAAAGATATACATAAAATGTAAATTATAATAATAATAATAATAATAATACATATAAAGAAGTTAAAAAAAGGAACAGAAAAAAAACATATGATACATATATTACGAAGGTATCCTGCAATGCCCCCATGGTAACGTTTTCGTCGAGTCCGGTACGACGTACAGTTTGTCGTCGTATGGACTCAGAGCGATTTTCGATTCGGATATCGTGTATACCTCGTGCAATTTAGATCTTATACACGATTGCCTGCGAGTCATTTCGATCTCTTCGTTCAAACACCAAGTGTAATCTTCGAACATTATCGTTCGAGCTACGACGTTACTCTTTACACCTTTTGCCTTTTTAGTGTCGTTCTTGCCGTCGACTCTCACCGCATACATATTCGCTCTGAGTCAAACGAATTCAGTCATCGCACCGTTGTTCTCATCCTTCATCAGCCCGGGTACTTTTTATTCGCGAGAGGCATACCGTACGCGTTGTCCGTCGGATAATCGCTTGTGTAGAATCTAGCGATGTCGCGTTTCATAATCTCGTAAACATCGTCGCATTCTATACGGTAAATGAGACTGTCCGTGTCGGTGTACATAATTTGACACTTGTCGCGATACATCGGTGACATGTACTCGTGGTGAAATTCGTACAAGCAGATTTTCGATATGCACATACCCACGTAAATCGGCTTGTTGAACTTCACCTCGAGTTTGCGCATTTCGACGGTGATTAGATTCTCCGCAAAGACGCTGCGGCTGTGAAAATTCGGTTTTGCTATCATTGCCTCCGTCCCGTATTGTCCGTCCCATTTCGTTACTAATTTTACGTGGTTGCGCACATTCTCCATGGTCTTGCCGAATACCGCATTGTTCATTAATTTATATAAATTTTTTTCAAAATCGTTCTTCGCTAAAGTTCTAAATTATGTATTAAGTTCAATATAATCGCGGAGCCATGGAGGTTGAGCGAATTGTAGCACCCGGTGGATCTTCGTCACGCGAAGCCCGTGACGAGTACATTGCTGCAGGTTGCGGTAGTGGATGACGTAACGCTGCTTATCGTACAGCGTCGCTAAAAGTTTATCCTCACGCTTGCCGGGCGGCTTATCGCGCGTTGGGCAGAACGGTAAGTCAGTGTGTCGGTCGTGCAGCTGTTGCGGATACTCGAGATCGACCTCGAGAATATAACCGGTAGGCGAATCCGGAGCGATCGCGCTCGTGTCAAAGTTCGCAACGTCTTCGATCCATCGAAATTCGGCGTACGGCAAAGGTGACACATCACCCATCCGTACAGATTATTCACGTCGTAGGACATAAGGTACGACGACGGTTTCAACGGGTCGTACGAACGCATGTACTTGTTATTAGCCTGCGCATATCTACCGGAACATTGACTGAGGCCACCGCGTATGCCGCGCTCGATGAACATGGTCATATCGATGTCGGTGAGCAACTCGAATCTTACGCGCGTATGTTTCAGCATAGCGTCCCACGTGAAACCTGGCAACGTATAGTAATGCGCTGGATCGAGGTCGTAACTCGCGACGCAACTATTTCGGAAATTTTCAAATATGTCTGCTAATAACAAGACGTCGGTTTTTAAGTACAGATCGCTGTACTCGCCAAGCGTTCGGATGGAGAATCGCTTCCATACGTTCAAGGCGTGAGCGTAATCGCTCTCGGATACTGTATCGCCCGTCAATGAACTGTAAAATAATTCGCGCGGTTGTAAGCGCGTGTCGGGCAATTTGTCAACGCAGTCAACGTACTCGTACGGAAAGATACCTTTACGAGTCAGCAATTCAAATTCTTCGTCTGACAAAATTGAAAATTCAGACTGTACAATTTTTAATTTATCTTTGTCGAGATACGATGCCAATTTTTCTAAACTTGCATTTAGAAACTTGAAGGAACCAGTAAACCTTAATTTTACGCGATTTCTTTGAAAATTCTTTTCATTTTTGTCTTTGATACTATCTACATGTTTAGTGAATGAAATATATTTTTCCTTCGTTATCGGAAGGAGATCTACATTTCCATCGTACGCGGTAGCGATTTCTTTAATTATAACGTGTGCGTCGTAGCCCGACAAGTTGTGAAATACAACCGGAATAGTAAATGAATTTTTATAATTTAGATTACAGTTTGCATGTACCGGTCCGCGGTATCTCCCGGTTAAGTGGCAATGGTCGCGGACCCGTGTATAATTCGACGCGAACGGCTTATCACAAATATGACAACGCGCCGCGCTGCGGTACGCCTCCCATTGCTGCTTCGATAACGCTTCCATGGGCACGTTAGCGGATACAATATCTTTTACGCGATGTGTCAAATTTTTTAATTCTTCCGCGAACCATGATATACAATTTTCATCGCGTTGGAAGTGATACGGTGATAACGAATTGTCATACGAGCATTGCACGTAGTATCCTATGCTGAATACTTCGTGCCGCTGAAAATTGTCGCACGTAGTATCCTATGCTGAATACTTCGTGCCGCTGATACTCATACGACGACGCATCTTCCTTGTCAGGCTCCGTCTTCCTTAGAATGCACTCCAGGTCGGCGTAGACGATGAATGGAACGCGTTCCTGGTTGCGGTGATTGCTGAATTCGAGCCATCTATCGTCCTCGCTTGGCAGGCGGATGGCGCAGTCGTTCAGTTTTTGGCAGTCTATTGTGAGCGACTGCAACCTTTCTCTCGAGCCAAAATAGTGCAGGCATCTGTAAATAGACAAATAATTTTTTATTTTTTCACTTTTATATATATATATTTTCTTATTATTCTTACCGGTCGCAGAAATATTTCTTAACCTTTTTCCCGGTAAGTTGCGATCTCACAAGGCGGGATAGATCTTTTATCCACGTAAAGTGACCTACACCGTCGTCGCGTGGATCTTGCAGGTACAGGAGATTGACGTGTTTCTCCTTGTTGTCACCGGTGAGTCGCAGAGGAAGGATCTGCTTATTCTCGATGCCGTACACGTTGATCGACACAGCGTTTAAACGTTCGAATTTCGGAATGTCTTTTAATATCATCGGAAACTCAATGTTTGTGAGATTTAACACTGCCGTGCAATGCGGGTACGACGATTTTCTATCCACATGACTTTTAGCTGGGTATAGAGCGGCGACCACCGACCACGCGAAGCATGCATTGTCCATGGATTTCACACTGACCACCGCTTTCTTCAGCGTAATTTCTCGCGGCACCTCGAAGTGACATCCCGCGCGCATGGGATTCAGTTTGTTCACGTTAACAGTCAAATTGATAATTCGCGACAGCGCCTACCCACTGTCGCGTTCCTGTAACTCTTCGAGCGATGTCAAGACAGGCTCGACGACGTGTCGTTCGTACCACTCGCATACATCGGTGCATCTATATATCTCGCTGTTCTTCGTGTTTATACTTTTATTGGCACGTTTGTCTTTCGTCGCGAACTCGCCGTTGAACGCTGTGTTCACTTTCACACTACCGTGTCTTTCCACAGCGTCTCGCAATCGCTCTAGCACTACATCGCCAGCGTCTTCCAAAAACCGCCGCGGCTCGATGTGATTAGAGTTTATCACCGCGCCTGTCACTATACGACTCTCGAATGTTGTTTCGATCTCGCGCCATCGAAGTCCGTAACCGACGCCCACATGCACGAATCTTCCACGCACCGAATCCTTCAAACTCTCGAGCCTCGCGATCCTCGTCACCACAGATTGTCTGTGTCCAACGGCGAGGCGTGGACGCTTGGTACGACTCTGCTCTTCAATAAATTGTATTAGTTCGTCGCATCGTTGTTCCCATGCGACGTACTCTTTTCTAGTATTCAGCTGGACCGCTTCCTCTATCAAATCGCTCTCCATGTTATCGGTTGCGTTGACTAATGACGCGGTGTGTCTAAATCTTCTCATTTTATACCATTTACTTGGCACGTGATATTTGTATCATATTACATTGATGATGATGTCACCATTCGAACATGATGTGATATATCGAATGTTCGTGAAAAATCTAGTCACGTGACATGTACACTATTTGGCAACGTCGTATTTATATCAAATCGCATCGATAATGTCACCGCCAAACATGTCGTAACATGTTGTGATTGTCGCGGCATGTCCTTGAAAAATCTTTGATTACGATAAATCTAATAAAGCCGTCGACGCTTGCGAAATTACAAACGTCGCATTTTTGTTGTATTAAATTACATTGATGTTATCGCGAGACGCATCAAATAACAAATGCGATGTGGCAAACACCTAGCATAAGATTTATGATAAAAATTTAAATATTAAATGTGAAGTATTAGTTACACTATGGATGATAATATTGTTACGTCCAGGCCCCAAAAGTATTTTTGTCTTAATGGAAAGTAGGAATTAGGAGGGGGCCAGGGTAGGGCGCAACTTGTACCGCCTTTTGTGGCTTATCGCTCCGTGGACGCGTGCCACAACTCGGAAGCACTTGTGCGAGTCTTTGGTGCGGGTAAACGCAAATACGAAGCGCTGTTACGCCGCCCAAGAAAGTGCCACCGTTGGTCCTTATTTTTGGTCAAGGAACTTAATCCTTATAACCAGGGATAGGACCCGTACGATCTTCGAGGTGAAGGAATGAGTCGGGGTTAGAGAATGAAGGGTGACTCAATTTAAATTACAACTAATATTTAATATAACTTAACAATTTATGGATTACAATATTTTATACATTTCCTAAATTATAAATTGCATTGTATTATCTTTTTTATCTATTAGCATAGTTAATTGACAACGGAGATTACGTGAATATGTCTATGTTTTACTATACGGTTGTATGTGTGTGTGTGTATGGTTGTGATTATGGGGAGGGAGAAGAGGGTCTGTTAATTTCGATATAGTATTCCAATGGAATACTTTCAGGATTTCGTCGTAGTCCGTGTCGTCTTCTGGGGGAACGGGGGAATAGGAAATGGGGGGTGAATTCGTAGTGGGAAGGTGATGGGAAGCTGGGAACGGTGATGGGAGAAGATTCCGTCAAGTCTATGAGAGGAATTTCGGAAGTACTGGGGGTGAATTCGTTTTTGGGTTTTTCACAAGAGCTAGCCGGTTGGGTGCGGGGGTCCGTTTCAGTATTTAGGCTCCGGTTAGGAGATGGAGTTCCCTTAAGGAGCGCCTTGATCTTCGCTCTCTTCCGACGCCCCGCACGATGGCGATTACGCTTGACAATCTACGCATGAAATTCTCTTTAGTCAGGATGTCGTCATGTTGAGAGAGATATGGATTCGGATGGTGAAGTTTTAACTCAAGGAACTGAATAGGAGAGTGGGAGGGAGAGAGAGAGAGAGAGGGGGAGGGGAGAGGGAGAGAGAGAGAGCTGAAGCAGTGAATAGGAGAATGAGAGAGAGAGGGGGGGAGAGAGAGAGAGAGAGAGAGAGAGAGAACTGAAGCGTTTTGGTCGCTTCGAGTGATTATAGAAGGAGAGGGGTCGCGAACTATTTAAAGCGGGTTGACGCTTCGCGAGTTCGCGGAGAAAGAAAGAGATGCGAGTTACTCGCAGCGTAATTTCGCTTCAAGATGTCGCGGAAAGGAGGAAAGATCGAACTATTCAAAGCGGTGTCTCGCTTCGAATTATCGTGGAAGGAAGAAGGTCAGAGAGAGATGGTAATTACTCGAGGGCGTTATCTCGCTTCGAGTAATTGTAGAAAGAGAAAGCGGGAGAGAAAAAA